TGTACAGATATCAAAGTAGAATACTTCTCGGGAGCACATCAAGCTCCCAATACTACATAGGTGGGATCTCGTTAAAAAGACTAAAGTGCTTTCGCAGCCGTGATACGATATTTGTACTCCTACTCCGTAACGCATTCTTCAAACAAATCAACTATCAGCTTGCCCTCCTTGCTATACCCTTCAACATATCTCTCGCCGTAGTCCCCAACGAAGTTCAAGTACGTTGTCTCAGGCTTCCTCTTACAAAGTCCACACATAGTTTCTCTCAGATATCCCCTCAATCCTTCCCTCGGAAACTCTTTAGCAATCCCATCAAACTCCTCCTCTGTGATACCAACGACTCCTCCAATCAAACTCTTGCTGACCTGCACACCAACCAGCTCGGTGAAAATCGCGGCATTGGTAAGCGCAACTTCCGTCTCTTTATGCGGCGCGATATCAGAAGATGTGTGCAAAGCAATAGCATCCCACACTAGCTGAATACGATGCTTGTCCCACTCAGCAGCTGGTGCTTCTTTGTTCAAGAATTCTCTAGCTGCGTTCGCTCCGTCTACTTCGAAGATCTTGTCGTCGGATACCATGTCCTTGGAAGTCGACCAGCCCATATCGTGTAGCAGGTTGGAGATAGCGAAGGCTTCTAAGTCGATGGACTGCTGGGCTCCAGCAGGCAGGTGCGAGATGATAGCTTGCCCGATTAACCATGAGCGGATGACGTGCTTGTAGCCTTGGTCGCCGAGGTACTTGCGAGCGTAGTCCTGGGCTTTGGTGATGAGCTCGGTGTTAAGGACCGTTATGCCGCCGAGGACTCTGGTAGGGAGTTGGTGTGAGTTCATTATTGAGGACTTTGGCAAGTTTGAAATGTGACAAATAGATTTGTTTGTTCGATTGAAGTATGTGCTTGTGAGACTGCGATTGAAATATTGCTGCTGGTGATACTTCCCATTTCCTACTGTGTTCCACGTCTTATATGTATATCCCACCTTCGCAATTCCAAATGCTCACTTGATGGCAGCGGAAGGACGCCGCACAGCAATGACGCGGGAGACATGGTTCGTGCGAAGGTGAGTTAGAGGGCGTGCTGCTGACTGGTATATCAGGAGTTCGGCACGGGTACGACTTTGATGCCGACATCCGTGCCGTACAGGTGCCGATCCGAATCTTTCTTCTACGGAGGTCCTGTTCCATCACCATCCATTATTTCCCTTATTTTTCAAAACTCATCGAGTCACTCAATTAGGTTAAGATTACTTGTTGCACTTTTCTCGCGCATTCGGGCTTTGAACCGGCCTCCAGAATCAACAGCTCTTTGCTAAAGGTGGAACGCCGGACTTTATGAAAACTTTACTCCGTCCTTCAATCCTGGGAACGGGCTGAGCAACTCCAGCAGCTACGTCTTTCTCCAAGACTTCGTGCACATGCATCAGCGTATGGCCGCGGCTGGACCAGCAGTCTTCATCTATTGATGCCATTGAGTTGGGTGCCCAAAATTCTGATAGCCTCATGTGCACACCGGTCGTATCTGAAACAATCGGTATTAGTGTCGTAAAAAGCTCAGTAAAAGCAGGACCATGACCGTAGTAAATTGGGCTTCTATAACACCGGCCATGCAGCTCGAAGACGTCAAAAAATTGAGCAGTACGCCAATGTAGGTACGCACAGAGTGTCCGCTGCTCCCTGGACCCCTTGCAGCGGCCAGCGCAACAGTATTGACGGAGAAGAGCGTGCACCTGCTCGTGCAAAATGGTCTGAACAATATCCGCAGCAGAATCTTGGGTGTACCACGCTGCAGTCACACGCTTCAAATTAACTGGAGACAGGTCCAAGTCCCGAGAGCTTCGGGGATAGATCTTGATGTAGAACTTGCCGTGCGATCCTCCAGTTAACCCGCTCACGCCTTCCTTTAGCATATCTATCCCACTAGCCTCGTCCTTCACTGCCCATTGGTAGTCAATGTTCCTCAGCAACCCAACAAGAAAAATTTGATTGAGGGATTCAGCTAGCAAAGATAGAGGTGGGTAATAACTATAATCCGGAGGCTCCTTTTGAGAGGTGACCTTGGCAAGACGTTCGTACGCAAACCTGAAAGTCTTCAAATACTCCCTTCCGCTGTAGTCAAGTCGTAAGTTGCACAGATGGCGACAAATACTCACGACCAAGGTATCGGTGCTGCAACTCGCAATTGCGCGCGGATGGGGAGCAAGTACTCGCCACAAATTCGGTGCGCATTCCGAACAGAGGCAGTGATGATCAAGGTCCTCTAATGTCACGCCGCTTGGGAGAAGATAGACGTAGCAGGCTGGTAAGCTGATAGGGAATTTGAAGTGGATAGACATATTTCTCTGACTCTATATTACGAGCAAAGGACCAGTTGCGATGTTCTTATGGAGCCGAGTAATGCATTGTACATGACCTACTCGTAGAACGATAATGTTTATTTTTGCACAATGCGACGTCGTCAGTAATCTGGGCAAGACCATATGGGGCCTTACCAACTTGGAAAGCCGAGTGCACTAAAGTGGCTTCAACAGCGATTGAACGAGGCATTTGCTGAAGCCGAACAGAGTTGCGAATCTTGATAAGCCTAAACCATAGCCATCGAGTGAATGTACCGCTCACAGCTATCTCCCATTCTAACGTTTGCCACTGTGTAGGCAACATGAGCATCGGCCTCTAGTCTTACTTTGCTCATCGAGAGAAGTCGTAATCCACTTTCACTATAAATATAAGCTCTCCAAGTGCTCTAGTGTGGTATCGTCAGGGATAACGACCAAAGAAGATAATGAAACAATGGCTTACGAGTGATATATTGAGCAAGTACCGTGTCAGTCAGTCCTATTTCTCATCTCTACTGTCCACTGACAAATTATTTGAACCATCAAAGGGGTTTGCCCATATCGGCACCAGCATTGCTCCTCCTTCCACTGTCTGTCATTTCCAGGTTGAAACCCGGACGTAGTTAATTTAGCATAGAGTTCAGGCTCCTGCTCTTTGATAAAGGCGATTTGCCGATCGGCCTCAGCGTACCCGTAGCACCCACGGAACTGGATGTTGAGAAGTCTTTCCGCCCCAGGATACAGAGCATTGACAACTTCCCAGAATGCTGGACCATGCCTGGTGAATGCAGCCGGTGCGCCATACCATTCTTTTTGATACACGAATTTCGACCACAGATGGCTCATATGGTGATCTAAGTGGTTGCACAGAGCTCTCTTCGCAAAATCTTGCGAGGACTTGCATTGACCTTGACAAGCGTACATCTTGATCAAAGCGTGAGTCTGTTCATGAAGTATGATCTCGATGATCTTCGTTGCTGCATATTCAACATATTCCTCTGCAGTTTGCCCTTCTTCGGTCTCGATTCCCGGAAACCTAAGCAGATCCCCGCGACTGACTGGATGTACGAAGATCTCACTACTTTTCAAACGATCATCTGCAGCGTAAGTCTGTTCGTAAGATCCCCAGCGGCTCAGAGATGTTTCAGATGTATTGTACCATGTGTACTTGACGTCTTCTAGCACGCCACTAAAGAAGATCTGATTGAGTGGCTCGGCGAGATGCGCCAAGGGTGGATAACAAACGTATCTTGCAGGGCCTTGCCTTGTAAGTTTCTTGAGCCGCCCGAACACAGACTTGAAGGTTCTTAGGTACCCGATTGTATGAGCGTCTAATTGAAGGTCCTCTGCATGTTGTCTAGCAAAGATTACGATGTCTTTTACGCTCGTTGATAATAATGTCAAGTTTTTCGGGTGCTGGGCAAGTCCATCCCAAAGAGACTGTGCACAAGCTGGACACAGGCAATGACTATTGAAGTTCCCCTGCGAAACTCCATTGAGTAGCTTGCGCTTGAAAATGTTGGCGGGGATCGGTGGGTAATTGGGTCGAGGCAACTGGTGCACTTTTTTGGACAGGATTTCAGTGTCTTGCTCCATTGCATGTACAGAAGCGAAGTCGAACATTGACTCAGGCTTTTTATTTGATAGAGATATAAAGACGACACCCTCAATCCCGCCGTCATCTCATTGTATAGCTACAATGACGAGACAAACTCAGCGGTACCCACCGCACAAACAATGCAGTACCAAACTGACCGTCATTTCTTTCGACTCGCACAATTTGTGCAGATCTCAACCAACAAGTCATTCACTGTTTGGCGGTAACAACTCCAAGGCTGAGTGTCTGATCATTCTAACGTCAGATCTACAGACTTGTTGCTTATTGACCCAAAATTGATCATGGGCACCATTCACTTTACTACTGGAGCAAATGTGACACGGTGCGTGCAAGAGCCTGGGACGTAAAATTGACCGAGTGACACTCAACTATATAAGAACAGAGCTTTGCCCACAGAACATACTGTGCAACATCAGCTTTCCATCTGCTCCCATACTGGTTATTCTGAAAGCTTCCAATCATACTAGAATTTGCTTTATTCGCCACATCAGGAATAGTCAGAACTTGGGCAGCTACAAATGCGGCAAGAACGATCATCTGCAGATTGTAACCATGTGCTAATATGCCCTTCACATGCTGCTAATCATGCGCGCTGAGTTGCTGAATCGCTTGTGCCGAGCTGAGGGGATTGTCCGAACTGTACGAGGATCCGAAAACCTGTACGAGATGGGGTCGAGTGTAGCTGTTGAATACTGAAGTAGCGATCGCAAATACAACAGCTCCTCCCATAATGCGAAGCTGGGTGACAAGGCCGACCCACCGCTGTATGTTCTGTTAGCTTCCCCTCAGACGACGACCCTTCCTCCTCACGTATGACTTGCCTTTATCCCTGAATTCGACCACGAACGGAACAATCAAGATGAGTGTGGAAATGTTGATTCCACACCCTAAGCCGGCGATGACTTGAAATGCATACATTTATATGGACTCTCTGGTAAGGAAGCTAGCAGTGCGAATCCTATAGTCTGGAGGACTGGCGAAGTGAGAACTATGAAAATGGCTGGAGTTCTAGGGTTAGCCTAGGACTGAATGAGCAAAAAGATCTTTTTTGGAGATGTAGAGGATTGAACTCTAGACCTCCCGCATTCCCACTAGGTTGCGAAGCGGGCGCTCTACCACTGAGCTACATCCCCTTTCGGTGCGATCGATGAATAAATTTTGGACATCAATGGTCTATAACAAAAGCAAACTACCCAGTAGTTGACTACCTGAGATTACATATAGAGACTATACCTGTTCGTTTGTTCGAATGTCGTGCGGAACGAACAATGACAATGTGAAGATGTGAACACCTGGGTTATACCTGACTATCGATAACTGCAAACACACTGAATGACCTGAGTCGTACCTGAGGGCTTGCACATCGTGATTAGAGCATAGTTTGACAACATAGCTTGCCCTTCCGCTTCCATATTGTGAGCTCGCAGCAACCCACTCACCGTGTCCCTTCCATTGGAGATACTGCGGACACAATGTATGTCTCCTGTATACAACATATAATGTTCTTGGGCATGTGAGAATGATTCGAAGTGAAAATCGCCCAACTTCCACACTCACCAATATGAAGTTGCAAAAGCGTGAACGCAAACAGCAGTCCGGTAGTATTTCCACTAAGCTGCGCAAGACTCCTCAGACTACCCAATCCCTCCCTGAGGTTGGCCATTCATCATTGCATTTGTATCCTGCACGCTCATATCCTTCCAAGTCGGCTCCGACATTCCAGAAGCAGCGACCAGACATCATCACAGTAGGTCCACCAACACCTACCCTCCGCACTAAACCCCCACAAACACTGTCTCGATCACGACCGGGTGCACAGACAGAGACTGCGGTCCTTCCCAGCATCGTTCTTATGCCTTCACCTGGTGAAAACAGTGGCCAATCGGTCACTCTTTTCAAAGATCCAGCAAAGCGGAGCCAATGCGATGATACCATCGATCTAGTCACCGTCTTCAGCCTTACGCTACATAGGTTTGGAAAGTTTCCACTTCGGCCAATAATATCGTATGATTTTCCGGAGGAAGTACAGCCGTTTTATATTGCTAGTGCAGAAGAGCCAGAAGTCAAGAAAACTGGCACCAATGGAGATGATGCAAAAGCCACCGGCGTGCGTCAAGATGGGAAGCGGGCAGCAGTGAGCTTCACGCGGCATAGTTCCTGCGAGAATCCCCAAGCTGCATCGGAGTCCATTGTGATGATGAAATTATGTAACCACAAAGTGTACGGCAGCAGCAAGGCTTCGGGGGCAAACACCGAAAATAAACAAGCTCCTCAATCGCGAACACCTCCCCAATCCATAGTGTACAATGGGGAGGACCACCGTCGTCATAGTCAGACTTGTGCACGTGACGCAAGCTATGTAGAGCAAGCTGTCACTTCAGCTACTTGGTCGCCGGAAGATTTCGCCTCCACAATTCGTAGTGTGAAGCAGGTACACTTCCCACCCGTTCGTCGCAAATCGTCGCCTATCCAACTCTTGAAGGAGGCCTATCATCGACGCCGATACTCAATGGATTTGTAGGTTGCACCCAACGATGCCGAGGCGCAAAAACTTGAGTGATGGTGCGCGCCACATATTAAAGCGCCGATAGTTCGTAGTCCTCTTGATTCAACACGATGTCACTACGTTATCGGAGAATTGAAGATGAGAGTCGAACGATTGGTTTATGAATGCGAAGACTTAGGTTTGGACAGTGAAAACAGTGCGAGTGGAAAGAAACAGCTAACTGTATGGGTGCAATGCTTTTGTATACCGTGTAAACATACAAAAAGAATGACTTACCCCCGAGCAGGCCCACCCCTCCTGCTCATCGGACCCACCAAAGTCCGTCCCATAAGAGTCGCAAATTCTTTTGTTTTGTTTTTGTGTTTGCCTGCCCTCCCTCCCGACTGCGGTTGTCATTGCTCTTCTTGACTGCTGTTTGCCACTGCTCTTTTCAAGGACTGCTGTTGTCACTGCTCTTTGGACAGCGGTTGTCTATGCTCTTGCCTATGCTCTAGCTAATCTAAGGAAAGAAAAGGAAAAGCAAAAGGGCGGGCGCGGCGAGCTTTTAAAGGTGTTGCCAAGCCGGGGCTCGCTTGCTGCTAGCTTGCTTGTTTAAGCGAGGCGTGAGCCAATAGAAGGAATTACAAATGCATGCGTGAGTGAAAGTCCAACTCACGTGAATAATGCAGAATAGAATGAGTTGTCACAACAATAGCGCCGCTCGTATTGATCACAGATCGTCGATCTCATTGTGTCCAGGAATGGTAGTTTGAGGTACGTTATACCAAATGAGGTCTTCTAATCAGCTAGTTCGAGGTTGTGGACGCGAGTCTTCAGCCTTGCAGCAATGTTTCCGTATTGGTCTTCGCAACCGCTTTATAGTTGACGAAGCTAACGTTCGGTAGTTAGACTGCAGGAGGTAGATCTGCAGCCGCATCACCCAGCGTTGATCAGGCACCCCGCCGAGAAGCAAGACCCGCTAACACTTACGTCAGAGCTGAGCTCTAGCACCAATCAGCTCTCCGACTTAATGAGCAAGGCGTACCAGACCAATTTATAGTATTTCAGGACCTCAGACTAGGACCTCTTGTTCCGACATGCTTATCCACCCTGTCTATAAGGCTACGGCGGCCGCTGTAAAACCTGGAGGAGAGACCCGGAGTAGGGGTACAGCTACTGTATTGTTTTACTCTGTGCTAGCTCTTCGCCTATTAAACACTACTTAGGTAGGTTCTCGTTTATCTAATCGCAGCACTTCAGGACTGGTAATACAGTATCTGTACCCCCGTTCCAGGAGAGCATCGTTACCACCATGTTGACCGTATTTCCACCTCAAACTCTCGTGCTTGCGGGCGTTGCAACCTTCTTGCTATACTACGCAGGATGGGTTATATACACTCTCACTTTTCACCCATACGCGAAATATCCAGGGCCGCTTCTTGCGAAGATAACGACATGGCACCGCTGGTACACATTGCGGTATCAGATCGACGAGAACGTGCGGAAGCCGCTTCACGATAGATACGGTGAATTCGTTCGCATCGCGCCAGATGAAGTGCAAATTTCGGATCCATATGCTATCGACACAATCTCCAAGTTCGCGAAGACTGACTTCTACGACAATTTCGATCCTGGGGTGGGGGCCAGAGTCGAGATCTTTGCCGAGAAAGACGAGCGGAAGCACAATCAGTTGAAGAAGTTGATGTTCCCACTCTTCAGGCAGGAAAGCGTTGCGAAATATGAAGGTTATGTCGAGAACATTCTCGCACTGTTCTGTCAAAAGATGGAAGAAGAGGTGGGCGAAGAGGTGGACTTGGCAAAGTACATCGCCAAATTCAGCTGGGACACCGTAGGCGAAATGATATACAGCTACGAAGGCGGCTTTGGGATGCTGAGAGACGATATCGACTACAACGGGTGGATGAGCATGGTGAAGATCATGCAATGGCAGACTGGTCAGTTGGGCTATGTCCCATATTTGATTCGGGTGCCATATTTCCTCTTTCAGCTTCTCATCAGTGGAAAGACTAGGAAGGGACTAATGGGTGCAATGAGGACCGTGAAGCAGCTCAGGGCCTTGATCAGAAAGCGACGGGAAAGAGAAGCTGCAGGCGAGGAATTCAGACCCGAGGATATGTTGAGTAAGATGTTGAGAATGGAAGAGGATGAAAAGGTGAATTGGGTTGAAGATGACATTGTCTTGACTTTGAATGCCTTTGTTTGGGCGGGAAGTGATACCACGGGCAGTGTGCTGGGAATGGTACGTAAAAATCATCGCGTACAGTTGAGCAACAGTTGTTGACCGTCCCGATAGATCGTATTCTTTATTCTTAGTGACAAGCGCGTATATCGAAAACTCCAGACAGAGCTTCACACCACAAGATCTGACGGATATATTTCCTACCAAGCAGCAACAGAACTTCCTTATTTGGACGCCTGCGTCAACGAAGGTCTTCGACTACACGGTATTCTTGGTATTGGATTCCCGCGTGCTGTTCCTACTGGCGGGGCAGAGATCTGCGGACAGTACTTCCCAGGAGGTTACAAAGTTTCAATGAACCAGAACGTCACACATCTGGACAAGGCCATATTTGGTGAGGATGCGGACGACTATAGACCAGAGCGATGGATGGTGAAGGACGAGGAGACAGTCAAAGCAATGCATAGACATCTGCATACATTCGGATACGGGAATAGAAGTTGTCTAGGAAAGCCGGTAGGTGTGATATAGTCAAGTTGGTGAGGTCATTGCTAACCATCGAGCAGATTGCCATGAATGAAATATACAAATTTGTTCCTACAGTACTGAGCAGGTATAGTTTCGAGGTTCTGAAAGAACCGACGGTGACTAGAGGTTGGTTCCAGCAACCGGAAGGCTTCGTGGTCAAGGTATCCAAGCGAGATTAGACCGTACCACCACGCTAGGCTACACCCTGCAATGTCAAAATCGAGACGTTAGCATCCAGTCCACCTCGTATCAATTTCCCACCATCGCTGCACCTCGCTTTGAAAACCTCCTTGTCATGGGCTAAGGAGTGCCTGCAGGGGCTGTAGGCAATGGCTTGCGAACCTCAAATACCCACCGCCCGTCCTCGCTATCAAACAGCCGGGCTTCCGCTCCAATCAAGAGTTTACTCACGCGCAGAGTCTCACCTTTTATGACATTGCGTATAACATCAATAACCAGCGCATATGGCTGCGATGAGGCCTGTAGGTCGCGAATCAAACCCACAACGACCCGTAGCACATCAAGCCCAACGACCATATGCTCAAGAGCCGAGAAGTCGACCGCGATTCGTTGAATCCTATAGACTCTGAGAGCAGACATGTTGATGCTGAATAGCAACGTCAACTTGGCACCATTTATCGTGCGTAGTCCGTTCTGCAGCTTGGCCAATTTCGCGTAATCTGAGTCTTGGGAGAGGAGAGGTCTAGAATACTCATGATTTGCCTCTTCGGGATCGCAATATCCATATATGAAACCGGCTGCTTTGATTCGTGAAGTTGTATAGTTTTTGTGGGTCTCAGGTGCCGAGAATGTGCTGTCAGTGGGTTGTGACGAAAACAGACAGTATCGTACCTCTTCTGCAGTGCATCCTCGAGAACTGGCCATTTACGCTCAAGCCATTCCGCGATCTTGGTGCTGCT